GTTCTGTTTAGTTCATTATTTGAGAAGAATAACATTCATAATTATTTTGATTAAAGAACCAGAAAGAACTTGAGATTTTTTAGAAGACTGTAACAGAAAGTTAAGCTGAGAGAAAGGTAATCAAGGACCAAGGAGACACCAGTTACAGACTCTGCTCTGAGGTCAACTTGGGTTACAAGTCTCTCTCTCAGCCTCCCTTTTAGAGCTGTTGTGCAGTTCTTAGGAACGCTTTTACCACAAGGTGAACTATACATTAAGCTATAAATTAAAATAAGAGATAATGCATTCATAGGATGGCTACTTCTTTTTCTTATGTGGGATGAGGCAACCTCTTCTGGTGGTGCAAATGGCTTTCCAAGAATGAAATCAAAAGAGCCATCAAACTAAGAAAACAACACCAAACTGAAGAGGAAGAATTTTGTTGTTGTTTAGTCGTGCCAGACTCTTCATGATCCCATGGACCAGAGCACGCCAGGCCCTCCTATCTTCCACTGCCTCCCGGAGCTGTGTCAAATTCATATTGGTTGCTTCAATGACATTATCCAACCATCTCATCCTCTGTCATCCCCTTCTCCTCTTGCCTTCACACTTTCCCAACATCAAGGTCTTTTCCAAGGAGTCTTCTCTTCTCATCAGATGCCCAAAGTACTGGAGCCTCAGCTTCAGGATCTGTCCTGCCAGTGAGCACTCAGAGTTGATTTCCTTTATTATTGATAGGTTTGTTCTCCTTGCAGTCCAGGGGACTCTCAAGAGCCTCCTCCAGCACCACAGAGGAAAAATAGCCACCCACAAATAAAGTATTTCTGCCATACATCAAAGGGGTCACAGACTGCATGGGAAAACCTTTGAAAAAACACAACCTACAAACAGTATTCAGACCCACCAAAAAATACAACAAATGTTACGGTCAGCAAAGGACAAAAGGGACCCCCTCACCACTGCAGGAGTATACCGGTTAGCTTGCAGTTGTGGACAGCTATATATTGGAACCACAGAACGTAGCATTCACACCAGAATCAAAGAACATGAGAGACACTGCAGACTAAAACAACCGGAAAAATCAGCAGTAGCTGAAGATGCCCTAAAACAAGCTGGACATGAAATTCTATTTCAAAATACTGACGTACTGGACAACACCAGCAATAATTATGTTAGCCAGCACAGGGAAGCCATTGAAATCCATAAGCATCAACAGAAGTTCAACAAAAAAGAAGAAGGCCTAAAACTAAATAAGGCCTGGCTCCCAATACTGAAAAATACAGCCTGCAAAAGGTCAACGAACTCTACCCAGCCACAAGGACCAGGTATCATTTCACAAAAAAGACAAGCTATCAACACCCATCAATCACAATGAAAGATAATCCCCCCCCCCCTTTATCACAACAAAAACATGCTGATCACCCTATCTCCTGGAAAAAGACAGGAGCTGTTCCCACGGCTATAAATACTCAACTATCCAACAAACAGCAAAAGAGCATGGACAGAGTTCCTACTCCAGTCCTCTGAAGATGCTGGCCACAGAGACTGGCAAAAGGTCAGGAAGAACAAAATTCAGAACATGGCCAAAGAGCCTGAAAAACCCACAACAACCATAAGTTATCATGACAATCTGACAATAGTTTTTTGTCTGGAACCAGCCTGAATCAGCCAGTAGTTCCTTCTCAGTTAATCGTTGGGAGTGAAGAAGCTACTTGGATGAGTTCTGAAATGTTTCAACCTAATAAGAAAGAAGTCCGGTTGCCCAGACTCAACTTCCAGATAACCTCACCTGGATGACTGAGAATCTTCACAGATAAATTGTTGGAGCTAATATATCACCACAAAACTGCTAAAATGAAAGCACATTAATGTGAAACAGTGCTGGTTCAGAGATGGGCAACCAAAATGATCAAGAGATCTCAGCAGCTCCTTTCTCAGGAAGGTCTACTGTGTTGACGTCTCTGGGAAGCCACTTCTTGCAAGTAATCAGTTCTGTAGAGAGGTGTGTAGCGTTTGGCCTTCCAGTGACAGACCACATGACCAGAGCTGGACGTAGAGTGGAAGGGAACATGTCTCCCAGCCTCCCAAAGTCCTCCCACTGAGCTTTCTGTTTGCTGCCTACAGCACTGTTCTCTCCGAGCAGCAGCCCCTCCAGAATCTGCCATCTGAGGTGCTTGTCTTTCTCTTTCTAACGGTAAAGCTGGCCTTGTGCTAACACCTAAAGTGAGCTTCAGTCAATGACATTCCTCAGACACTATTAAGACAGTATAAGTTCAAATCATCCCAGCTAAATTTTGAGAGCACTTCTATTTGATAACAGTTTCTAAACAGATGTCACAGGTAACTAACTCATTTGGCTTCAGTAGTCTTTTTTCATGGTACAATTGAAGAAGTTTAATAGCCTCTCTACCGAAGTGGAGCTTTTTACAGACTCACTTAAGACACTGATCAAATTGCCTGCCAGGAGCAAAATGGTTCTGCTCTTCTCAGAGAATTTCTTCATGTATTCAAATAGCTATTCATCATGGCAACATCTTTCCTCTTCAGCGGAGCAATATTGTCTGTCATCTCATGTCCCATCATGTTGATTCCTTTAGAGCAGGAGTCGTATTTTGGAGACTGAGGAGACATTAATTTTACCACAATGACCCCCTAGGACCACCACAGGCCATATCCTCCCCTCAAACAAAGTAGAATTTCTGGCTTCAAAATAACCTTTTAACCATTCCCCACATTTTCCAAAACAAATTGGGGGGGGGGGAGGGTTAGCTGTAATTAGAATCATTTTAGCAAAAAACAAACAAACAAAAAAACACACACATTTTTGTGGTTCCAGGGCACCAGAAAGGGGTGGGAAAGTCATGTAGCTTTAGTCTAAAACAGATCAGTGGAAACCACTCTGACTGGGCCACCAGAACAGGAATTTAATCTATGTCAATGGTTGTGATTAAGGGCTAACCACTGTCATTCTAAGAAAAGGGGAAATGTATGACCTTGCATATGAATCATTCATTGGATCAATTAGCTTTTTGATATGTTTGCATCCTGACATTAGTTTTGAGAAGATTTACATAACAGCTAATGATATTTTTTAAAAAATTCATAATGGAAAATTACAGAATAATCCCAAACACGTCTCTTTCATTTGAAAAAGAAAGAAAGAAAGAAAGAAAGAAAGAAAGAAAGAAAGAAAGAACAACGATAGAGTAAATAACAGAACACAACGGGAAACTGATAACTAATTAAACTTAGCAGCAGGAAACAGCCTGAAGGGAACAAACCCAAAAAGATGAATATAAAAATGCCAAACTAAAACGACCTCAAAGACTTTCTGAAAGAAAGTAGCATCTCTGCTCAGTGTCTGATATAAAATCTGGTGTCGATGCCAATAAGACTCTGTTGCAAGTATCAATCCTCTATGTGACCCCAGTGACCAAGGAACCTGGTCTGATGGCCCCACACTCAAAGAGCAAGTGCACTATCTTGAGCCTTGTAAGGGAAATACTACCATTAGTCAGAGTAAGGCCATCAAGCCAGGTGGCAGGTGATGTATGAAAAGGAAAAGGTGGTCACATCTGCCCAGCCCTGTGCCCCCTGCCCCTAAGCTAGCCTGCTGCCCTCCAGTGTGGTAATGAAAGCTCTGCCACTACAAGTGCTCAAGTAAGGTTCAACGGGTAATTTGGTTGGCATCTACAAGAAGAATGAGGCACTAAAGTATCTTTTGCTTCAGGCATCAGGACAGCTGTGGTTACTCTGCAGTAAAGAGATGAGGAGGCTACAGTCTGAATGAACTATCTCTCACAGAGGGAAACACAGGAACAACCCCTGAGGTTCCTGCCTCCTCCTTCTAACTGGATAAGAGCTGGCCTGCATTGCCTGGCTGATTTGGGAGAGAATTCAACAAACAACAAACACCAAGAGCCAAAAGAGCCCAAGGTGTTATGCCATTAAAACTGCTATTTAATTGGGGAGTGAAACCATGTCCCCAGGCACTGGGCTAGAACTTTGTCATGTCCCTGACAATGTCAGAAAGACAGTCAGGAGGAAATCCTCAGTACTGATGGCAGAAACAGCTCTGCTGGTACCCTGATTCCCTTCCCATCTGGATTTCCTCCCCTCTTAGATGGCATTTGCTATGTGACTATTTTGCTCTAAAGGAAAGGTACAAGGATGACATTTCTACTGCATACACCAGACAATTCTGGCAGAGGACATGAATATAAGAAAATACCATTGTGTAAGGTATTAATCCATAAATGTTATTTATACCACTGGATCATTAGGAGGACCAGCCCAGGACGACCAATGGATCAAAATTCTGAGTATGCCCCTGGTATGATGGGTTGAGGCAAACTCTAGAACGTGTGAGGACTCATCTAGGACCATAATTAGCTTGCAGGAGAAAAGAAACGCAACTAGGAAAAAACAAAAGTGACCAGAAGCCCACTTCTGCTTTTAAAAAGTCATGATTTAAATAGTAAAAAGGAGCTACAGCTTATTTACTTCTGAAGAGATCCATGAATGATCATTCAACTCATTGCTTCCTTTTTTTCAGTCAGGAAGTCTCAGAGGAGCTATGAGAGGGGCCAAAGAGGCACAAAAGCAAACTTGGGGATACACTGGATATCTAAGTTTGATAACAGAGTGATGTATATCTTGTTTTAGATTATGCCATGCTTTCCCTACAAAACAGCAAGTTTGTTTCTTGACATACTCTTACATCCAGTCTGTTGCTTTAATTGCACAGAATGAAAAAAAATCTATCTGTGCAAAAAAGACCTGGAATTAAAGATGCCATCATTGTGCTCTAAATCAGTTTCCCCTTCTTTCAAGAATTTTTCATTGTGCTCTAAATCAGTTTCCCCTTCTGGGGAAAAAAGTTACTGTTTGGACTACAGTTCTCAGAATCCTACAGTTGTTGTGCTGGCTGGGATATTACGGGAGTTACAAACTAATAAACTAGCTTTACCAACCTTTGCTTCCTTCCCTTTCACCAAAGACGTTCAGTGAGCCTGACTTACTTGTGGAGAAGGTCCCATCGGTGTGGACAGGAGGGGTGGAAGGGAGGAAAGGTGGATGTCCAACAAAGAAAGACCGCAGGGAGCGCTCCGGGAGGAGGGGAGAGCGCTGGGCAGGAATGTTCTCACAGCTCCCCACACTGTTGTGGATCTTGAGGTTTAGAGGTTTGCTCTTTTTCTTTGCTCTGCAAGAAAAGGAGAACGAAAGAGTAATGAAGGCAACAGCAAACAGGTACACTGTGGTTATTACAAAGAGGGCAGAAAGAAGGGACCAGGATGGAAAAACAGAAAAAGGCCTTCCCCCGCCTTTCTATAAGCCCATTTAGGCTACCTGTTTCTGTCAGTGATCAAACTACTATTTCCAGCTGTCCAGTAAGGTAGAGAGGAAAAAACTGATCAGGAAGAATTCCTATTTCTTCTTATTGCTGCTTTTAACCAGGCTTGCCTGCAGTGGCAGAAATATCAAACAGCTGGCTGTTTGCAATTAGGAACCAGAAAGCTAAAGTCCCCTCCTGCAAGACAACAGCGTCCCTCCAGAGGCTTTTAGACTGTTACTCCCATCATCCACTGGCTAACATGATGGAAGCAGTCCAAGGACATCTAGAGAGCCAGAGTTCTCCAGATGCATTGTAAGATCAACAAACTTCAACTGCATTATAGCAATTTCAAGAAAGGTGGTGATTTAATGGAGACCCACCAAAGTCTATTTTTTAAAAATTGAATTACCATCATAACTCATCAATTTTTAAAAATTCATAGCCCATTCATATAAAACCAGACATGGGAAAAGTTACCTTTTCAGACTACAATTCCCAAAATACCCCAGAGACCTATGGTCTAGGAAAGTAACATTCCCTATTTCTGATGAGAACGGTATAATGTTAATTCCATGTGTTTGCATTTCTCTTTCTCCTTTTCTCTATCCATTCACTCTTCCTTCTGTATCACATGTTTTTCAATCACACACCTAAGGCCAGGGACAAGAAATCATTTTGGGATCTCCAGGTGCCCTCTCATCTAAAGAGTAAATGGAAGATCTGCCAGGGAGGTTCGCACCTGGGTCCAGGAGGCCATGAACGCTTTTTTGAGATGCCTTTGGCACAAGAAACAAACAAGTGTGAGATGGGTCAATTTTCAAATCCTCTCCATGCCTAAACTCCAAACCATTCAAGGGAGTGTGATCTTTGTTTTGAAAAAAATCTATAAAAGCTCACAGTGAGAAGGATGGTTCCAAAAAATGAGAGTGCAACTCCTCATATCCTTTCAAATTTATTTTTGGAAGATCTTGAAAACCAGAATTTGAAAAACACGATGGACTACTACTCTGCGAAAGTGATTCCCCTATGGTCCCCACACCTCTCACACACCTGGTGGACTCCTCAGAGACCCTGGCACCAGAGTATAGCCTGGATGAGGTACAGCTGGGGTGGATTGGTGGGAGTGGGTTTAAAGAGGGAAGAGAAGAAAAAGGGGGTGCCTGTTGCCTTAGCCAGCAATGAGACTAGAGGGCTGGTCCAAAGCATGGAAAGAGCTACACCCTGTTTTTTATGCCCTGGGGAAAAATGGCTCCTGCTTTTCCAAGACCTCTGGACCAAACAATGGGTCAGCTTCACCCTGGACAGCGATTGAGGAGTAGTCGTACTCATCTTCTCTCCATGGGACCCTTGCAATGGTGGGCCCAGCCAAGCCACAACCAGGGAGGCCCACAGCAACACAGAAGAGGCAGTGGAGGTGGAAGCTACAGCATTAGCAGCTGCTATAGTTGGCTTGGTAGCTGTGGTGAGAGGCAAGAGGACATTCATTGGCCCAATGTTACTGGCCCTTGCTGACGGGTTTTGGGTGACTGGGGCCAGTGCTCAGAAATCGACCCCAGCTCTGCACTGGTGGAAGCAAAGGGCTAGTGCCTTTAACTAAGACCCGAGGAGAGTCTTTGAGTGAGTAGTGAAGGAGACTAAGCCCCTCTGTGGAGTTCTGAGAAGGGGGGGGACAGGGCCAACCCACTTTGCTGCTCAAATAAAGGGCTGTTATGACAATGTCAAGTGTTTGGACTCTATGGCTGAGAAAACCCACTTGGCCAACTTGCCTCTGGACAGGGGGGCCGTCACACGTTTTCAGAAAATTCTTTGAGTTTTGTTTTGTTTTTAAAGTAAGGCAATTTTTCTAAAGAAACCCATATAAAAGGACACAGGGGAAGAACTGCTCCACGCCAAGCATACTGAGTGTCCAAAGAATACAGAGCGCAGACCCAGGCAGGAGGCAGGGAGTGAGGATGAAATGTCCCTATACAGAAAAAGGCATGGCTTTCTACATCACCCAACAGAAGCAGGGCAAATAAGAATCATACGTTGCAAGTATTACTGGTTGGATAGACAGCGAAGATGTCACAGATGTTGGGGGAATCAATCCCCAAACCGTACCCAGCCCTACCTCAACGTAGGCTTCTTTCATAGGAAGAAAAGGACGATTCACCACAATACCCTCTTTTAACTGCAGTGCATTCTGCCCTCTTGTGGTAGAAAGGAAGCATGTAGAAGAAACCAAGGTTCAGTCCTTCAAGGCAGCAGAAGCAGGTTGGCTCCTTTTTGCATGGCTATTATTCCATTAACTCTTCCCCATTTATCTTGTCTGGGTGGCTGCTTCTTGATTTATGTCAAGCCTGGAACAATACATCTTCACACAGTCTCCTATCCCTGATAACCAAGTGACAGGTGTTTTAGGAACAGCCACCTCAATCCATCTTTGCCTCCCATGAAGTGCATTTCCTTCCTTGCAGAGAACTCTCTGCCTCTCAGCAACACAGTTCAGCCAACAGTGATGTGGAACCTTGAGCACAACCCTTGTTAACTTTCTCATTGGGGGGGGGGAGAATACCACTGAAAACAAATGATGGAAGGGCTGTTAAATGCTCCAGTGAACAGAATCTCTAGAAGTGGATATTGAGAAGAAACTCTCGTCCACAACTGTTTCTAGATCAGATGCAGAAGAACCTACAAGAGCTACTAATTCTGTAATGTATAACAAGTAGCCTTGTAAGGCCTGGTTCTTCTACAGCGGTGGTACCTTGGGTAACCCAAGTGTTCTTGGATGACAATTCCCAGCACAACTGATGGTGAAGGCTTCAGGGAACTACAGTCCAAGAACACCTGGATTATGCAAGGTTAGGAAGCACTGATGTAGAAGAACCAAGCCTCACAAGGCTAGATCATCATTACTTTTTGATTAGGTATGGATTTCCTTGCCAACACTATACTGGTGAGAGCTACTACTATGATAATACAAAGAACCTAATGGTTGCTTGTTTTTGAATGGACAATCAAGGCTTATTAACTTAACAGAAGACCTTCTCCTGTTGATGAAAATTGTTAGAACCAATCCGTTGATATGCATCAATACAGCAGCTTGCAGATTTGGATTATCTTAAAGGCATGGGTGTGAGGATGAGCACCTTACTGCTACACTACTCTGTTCACTTTAACATAAGAAGCTGCAATAGATAGGGTTGGTTCCAGGACTGCTGGGTTCCAAGGAACACAGGAAGCTGCTTTATAGCAGATCAGGGTATTTCCTCAGTTCAGCTCAGCACTGCTAGCATTGATTGGCAGCAACTCATTAGAGTCTGGAAAAGAAACAGCAAGGGCTCTTTCCTGTCACCTGCAACTAGATCAGAAATCCTGGGGGTCAAGTCTGGGGTCTTCAGCATGCAGAGCAGTTTCTCTAACCACTGAGCTTTCCCACCCAGGGAGAGATAGAAACTAATTTATCCCTTCCAGAAAAGGTTTTGAATGCACAGATCTTCAAAAGCTATCTCTCAATCAGTGCACCATATTCTGGCATTTCTTGAAAATACTCTTCTCTTTAACAGCTCCACGGCAAGCAAGTGTGAAATGATCCTGTCTAGGGTGTTGACTTTAGTTAATACCAATGGAAGGGAATAAATAAACATGTTTACCTACGTTCATAAACATTCAATGTAAGCAGGTCTGAAAGATGTGTCAATCCTGATGATTTATAGGCCTTCCCCTGAATAAGAAGCAGTGCTATAGCTGCTTCTTTCTTCCTCGCCTCTAGCTTTATATGATCTGGTCAATTTTGTAATGGCTTCCCTGCATCTCTGGCAGAGAGATGGAAGTCAACTTTGCAAATCACCTGTTATTAGATCCTCTCAGCTTAGGAGAGGACAAAAACTAACAATGGCCATGAGCAACTCTGAGCATTTTTCAGCACTGATTACGATGGCCAGGGCTTATGGGAGTTGTAGTCCAATAACATTTATTTATTTATTTATTTATTGGACTTATATACCGCCCCTTAGCGCTACAAGCACTCTCCGGGCGGTTTACAATTTTTAATTATACAGGCTACACATCTGGAGGACCATGTTTTGGCCCACTTGGTTTTAGCCGAAATGCCAGGCACTGAAGCTGGGACCTAATGTCTCTCTCACTGAGTTATAATTTCATCCTCCCTGATGTAGGAAACAGTACTTTGTAGTGGTTAGAACAATGGACTATGACTTGCGATCCAGTCATTCTGTCTCTTTTGTCCCAATCAACCTTACAGGAAGTGGAGAGGAGACCCACACCCACTACCTTGAATTTATAGGAGAAAGGCAGGCTATAAATGGAGCTAATCGAGACATGAGACATGCTTCCAGTTTTCAAAAATATGGGGATGTAGGGAGAGGGAGAGAGAGAGAGAGAATCAAAAGCACTGTGAAACTAGGAGGGATAATAGGCTTTCTGCAGAAATGAAAAATTTGCCATCCCTTTAAGTATAGTATTTATTACTGTAGTTAAATAACCTGCTAAGTTATACCTTGGCTGGCCCTGATGTGTGTGAGGGGGAGGATCCTAGGAGTTGTAGGCCAAATATATTAGAAGAGTGGTTGTGAGAACTGTAGTCCTCTTCTGCCTAAAGACCCACCAAAACAAAAACATGCCACTCTGGAATAGCCTATTTTTTGTGCTCTCTAACTGCTGCTTTGCATAGAGCACACACTGTCATTGATAAGAGCACACAATGTCATTCAGTGAAGTGAGTCGTCTGGGCCGGGGATGCGGCTAATAGGTTTCTAACCTTGATGCAAAGTAATAGCATCAGGATGAAAGTGAGGGAGGGGCATTGTGAGAGGAAGAACGGTGAGGGGAGAGAAAGAGAAAAGACAGAAGACTGGGGTCAGAGTGGG